TTTCCATAATGTAATGATCAAAATGAAACTTTCATATATTTCAGATTCATTGCACACCAACTGAAATATTTCAGGTTTTTAATTGTTTTAATACTGATGATTATGGCATACAGCTCATGAAAACCCCAAATGCCTGTCTCAAAAAATTAGCATATCATGAAAAGGTTCTCTAAACAAGCTATTAACCTAACCATCTGAATCAACGACGTAACTCTAAACACCTGCAAAAGATTCCTGAGGCTTTTAAAAACTCCCAGCCTTGTTCATTACTCAAAACCGCAATCATGGGTAAGACTGCCGACCTGACTGCTGTCCAGAAGGCCATCATTGACACCCTCAAGCAAGAGGGTAAGACACAGAAAGAAATTGCTGAACGAATAGGCTGTTCCCAGAGTGCTGTATCAAAGCACCTCAGTGGGAAGTCTGTGGGAAGGGAAAAGTGTGGCAGAAAACGCTGCACAACGAGAAGAGGTGACCGGACCCTGAGGAGGATTGTGGAGAAGGGCCGATTCCAGACCTTGGGGGACCTGCGGAAGCAGTGGACTGAGTCTGGAGTAGAAACATCCAGAGCCACCGTGCACAGGCGTGTGCAGGAAATGGGCTACAGGTGCCGCATTCCCCAGGTCAAGCCACTTTTGAACAAGAGACTGCGTCAGAAGCATCTCACCTGGGACTGCTGCTGAGTGGACCAAAGTTATGTTCTCTGATTACAGTAAATTTTGCATTTGCTTTGGAAATCAAGGTCCCAGAGTCTGGAGGAAGAGAGGAGACACAGAATTCACATTGCTTGAGGTCCAGTGTCAAGTTTCCACAGTCACGGGGGTGTCATGTCATCTGCTGGTGTTGGTCCACTGTGTTTTATCAAGGGCAGGGTCAATGCAGCTAGCTATCAGGAGATTTTGGAGCACTTCATGCTTCCATCTGCTGAAAAGCTTTATGGGGATGAAGATTTCATTTTTCAGCACGACCTGGCACCTGCTCATAGTGCCAAAACCACTGGTAAATGGTTTACTGACCATGGTATTACTGTGCTCAATTGGCCTGCCAACTCTCCTGACCTGAACCCCATAGAGAACCTGTGGGATATTGTGAAGAGAAAGTTGAGAGACGCAAGACCCAACACTCTAGATGAGCTTAAGGCCGCTATCGAAGCATCGTGGGCCTCCATAACACCTCAGCAGTGCCACAGGCTGATTGCCTCCATGCCACGCCGCATTGAAGCAGTCATTCATGCAAAAGGATTCCCGACCAAGTATTGAGTGCATAACTGAACATGATTATTTGAAGGTTGCCGTTTTTTGTATTAAAAACATTTGTCTTTCATTGGTGGGATGAAATATGCTAAGTTTTTGGGACAGGCATTTTGGGTTTTCATGAGCTGTATGCCATAATTATCAGTATTAAAACAATTAAAGACCTGAAATATTTCAGTTGGTGTGCAATGAATCTGAAATATATGAAAGTTTCATTTTTATCATTACATTATGGAAAATAATGACCTTTATCACTATATATATATATATATATATATATATATATATA